TCACTATTAAATTGTGGAATAAAAATGAAAAAATTATGAAATGTTTTAATATAATTTTTGGTTTGTTTCAGCATCCATTTATTGTGCAGTTGATCAAGGTGATCAAGGTTCTACCGATTATAGGTGGTACGATCCGAATTTTTCAAAATTACAGTGCAGTTGAATGAAAAATGAAAAATCAGTATTTCCTGCTATTTTATCACATTTTCAGCTTATCTAGCAGCAAAACTTGGAATTTCCATCTTTGTCAGTTTCAAAGATGCGATTTTTTAAGTGAAAGAGTGCAATTGACTCAAGCTCGAAAAGTACTGGGTGAGTGAGTTTATAGCAGCAGTGCTTTAACGGCCGACGGAAAATCCAATTTTTATATGAAAATATCACATAATCGTAAATTGAAAACTGCTTCTTCCTCTGGCCTTTTTTAAATCAAGGTTGAGCATTTAAAGTGCCGTGTATAAAATGTGAAATTTAGTAGTTGATTATTTGCTTTAATTCGAAACACGCAAATTTCTACAAGCAGCCAAAAACCTTTTTCATGCTGTTGTTTATGCTGGCAAAATATCGGATTCTTCCTAATTTCTGCGGAATGTTCAGAGTTTCTAGAGCCAAGTGACTTCTAAAGGTACCGAAAGTTGCACGCTTTATGAAGATCGGTATTAACTAAGCTGGGAAAAATCAGAGTTCAGCGTCAATTTTTCGAAAGTTTCAGCATCCCTGGCGTCAAATCTGTTCTTTTGATGGTGAAAATTTCAAATTGCTGTTTGCACGAGTTTGGAAAATGCGATTTTTTTGAGGTGAAAACGCAGTTGGAGTTGGACATCGCTTCCAAGAATTGCCTTACTCAGTAAATCAAAATCAGCAAGTTGGGCGATTTTCATGAAATTTTCAGCTTCTTTAGGGCCAACAGTCTGCTGAAGCTGGTGAAAATTCTGAATCCCTGCCTTTACCAGTATCGAAGACACGATTTTTTAAAGATAAGATCAGTTGGGTGACGACATCCATTTAGAGGTCGGTCTTTTCTAACCCGATAAAAATCAGGACAAAAGAGGTTTTTTATGAAACTTTCTGTATGCTGAGCGGCGACTCTCGCCTAAAGATAGTAAAAATTCCCAGG